TGGATGGATGGATGGATGGATGGATGGATGGATGGTTGGATGGGTGGATGGTTGGATGGATGGATGGGTGGATGGATGGATGGATGGATGGATGAGTAGATAGGCAAATGGAAGGATGAGTGGCTGGCTGGATGACTGGGTGAATTAATGGGTGGATAGATAGATATATAAATGGATAGATGAATGAATGATGGAATGAGTGAATGATCACATTCATGAAATGTGACACTAAGCCACTTATGCCAGCTGGAAATCACCTCTACAGAGCAGAAGCCACTTATGCCCCTCAGTCAGTCATCTTAAAACTTGGCTTGACTCATTCTTGTTCCAAAACAATAAAATTAAATTTTAGCATTTTCAACTACGGAGAGATAAGTCAAAATTGGTCTTCCCGTTGCTTTGAAAAAAGCATTAGTTAGCACACCACATAACATGGCAGCATCCCATGTAACCACTGAGCAAAACTGAGCAGGGTAGCTCCTTCAGTGAAGTTTACCTCAATCCCCTCCCCTCCCTACTGTACAATGCCTCATCTGTCTTCAGTCTTTACAGACACCAGACTCAAACTTGAAGGCAGACTCGCTCTCCTCTGTTTCTTCTACCCAGTGGTTCTCAACCTTTCTAATTTTTTTTGTTTTCTCAGGGGTTTTTGGGGGGGGCTTTGGGGGGCTTTTTGGGTTTTTTTTTGGAGGGGGTTCGAGACAGGGTTTCTCTGTGTAGCCCTGGCTGTCCTGGAACTCACTCTGTAGACCAGGCTGGCCTCGAACTCAGAAATCCGCCTGCCTTTGCCTCCTAAGTGCTGGGATTAAAGGCGTGCGCCACCACTGCCCAGCCTTTCTAATGTTTCAACCCATTAATACAGTCCCTCCTGTTGTGGGGCCCCCCAATCATAACATGATTTTCATCGCTACTTTAAAACTGTAGTTTTGCTACTGTTATGAATTGTAATGGAAGTGTTGCTTTTTGGAGATAGAGGTTTGCCAAAGGGGTCACAATCTAGAGGTTGAGAACCATGAGGCAGCCAGGGCCAACAAAATCCTATCCCTCTTTGACAAAGACACTAAGTGTGTGCAGAATGCATTATCACAGCTCCTTTCTCCCATTCATCTTCATCCCACAGCTGTTTATTAATACTCTAAAGTGCGAGGGCTTAACTAATGACTGCAAAATGCTCCTGCTTTCTCTCCCTGAGCAGATTGGCAAGCATTTTCTTTTATTCCTTACTCCTTATGCCTTTTCCTCTCCCTCCTCCTCCTTCTCCTCCTCCACCTCCTCCCTCTCCCTCCTCCACCCTTTCTTTCCTCCTTCCCCCTTTTCCTCCTCCTCACCCTCCACTTTTTCTCCTCCTCCCATTCCCCCTCCTCCTCTCCCTCCTCCTCCCCACCTCTTTCTCCTTCTTTTCTTCTTCTTCCTCCTCTTCCATAAGGTCTCATGTAGCCCAGGCTTGCCTCAAACTACATACATAGAATGACTGAGGTCAAGGATGGCCTTGAACTTCTGATCCTCCTCCCTCTGCCTCCCAAACACTGGGGTTACAGGTGTGCACCACCACCCTTGGTCTGTGCGGTGCTGGGATCATACCCAGGACTCCATGCCTGTTGGGTAAGCACTCTTCCAAATGGGTCACATCCACAGACCCCAAGATTTTTATTAAAAGCCACAAAACTAGAACTTTGGGTTGTCAGGCTAGACCTTCAACTCCACCACAGTATGCAAAAGCAGGCTAGACTATACATAAGTGAGTGGCCATGTGTCCCTAAAATTTTAGTCCATGCATGAATCCTATTTGGCCTGAGGGACACAGATCAGTTCTGAGACCAGAAATGAATAAATCACAATAGTCAATTCTGATTCTTTTGCCGTTTGTTTGTTTGTTTGTTTGGTTGGTTGGTTGGTTGGTTTTTGGACAGGACCTCATGATGTAGACTCAAAATCCTCTGCCTCAGTTTCCCAGGTACTGGGATTATAGGTGTGTGCTACCACACATCCCTTTATATTTCCAATCGGCTACTTATATGAAGGGGGAGGGTTAAATTAATTAAATAGTATATTGTATTTATTTAATCCAACACATAAAAATATTATTTCAATATGCAGACCACATAGACTGGTGGTGGTGGTGGTGGTAATTATTAAGACATTTTACAGTTGTTGTGTTTGAGGCTAGGGACTCCAGCGTGAATCTTGTATGTGGGTCACTAGTCTGTACATGAACTACAGACCTCACACTTGGGGGCACACATGACTGACAGCTATCACTTGGACAGTCTAGGAAGCGGCCTCTGGCCATTGTACTGCGACATCACCATGGTTGAGAGCCAGGACACTACAGACAGCTGGACAATAACTACCTAGAAATTTTGTTTCCTGTTGAATCAGAATTGAGAAGTGCTGGGATCCATTCTGTATGATTTCTCCCCGAAGCACCAGAGTCAGCACAGGCTGTGTAGGGGCCTCAGATCAATGACAACTGGGCTCACTCCGTCTTGAGTTGACTTTCATTTGATCTGTACTCGTTTCCTATTAAAGTTCCAGCCCGTGCTTTCAAGGCTTAGGACCCCCCTTGCTAAATCAGAAAAGATGAAGCTGAAGGTTGAAATGGAGAAGCTTTGAGTAGCTGGCTGCTACTCCCCACAGCTCAGCTACCTGCCTGCTTGTCCTGCCCATTAGATCCATTACTTGGGTTATTGACCCTCAGAGGCATCTGGGTTTACAATCTCTGACTCTGTGAGGTTTAGGCGAGAGATAAAGAGGAAGTAACAGGCAAAGAGCAAAGCCACCGAGCTTAGGAAATGTTTCCCACATGACCTCCATTGAAACCTGTGTTCCAATATGTCATCTTATGAAGGACATGGAACTACCTGGGCCATAAATGTCTGTCTCTCTTCATCCCTATCTGCCATCTTGTAGCTCCACACTGGGCCCATTGACCTCACCTAGACCAATCATTGGCCAAGGAGGGCAGGATTGACATGGCAGACCAACCAATCATCAAACAGAACTTGGTTGGGCAGAATTGCCTATGTGGTACCAGTGGGGAGATGGTATGTGATGCAATGAATCAGGACTCAGCCTACAGTAAGTGCTACATCAAATCCCTCTTCTGCTCCTGTGACAGCCACCCATCCTCCCCATCCCCAACACATCCAGACACACAGACAAAGGGCTAGGTGTGGCTGTATAGATGTAGACACTGGATCCGTTGGACACTATGGTCCCAGAACATAGTGCCCTCAACACTCATAGATCAGTGGTCGGTGTGCATAAAGTAGGGTCAAATAGCAAACCCATCCAGTCACTATCAATGTCAAGGACTTGGACACCATGGTCTACACCTGCTCTGGGTCTTATTATCGCTATGTGGGTACCAGCTAAGAACCCGGGCAGTATGATTTCTCTACATCTCCAGGGAAATTTAGGCCTGTAGATAGACAATATCTACCAAAGTACTAAAAGCACAGGGCTAGGGTCATACCCAGAGTCTGCCTAGAACCTGAGCTCAGTTACCCAGGCCTATCCTTCGATAGCACTTTCCAGAATCTGAATCCATGTTAGCCCCTCAACTGCTTAAAAGCCATGGAAGTTTTTCCTTGTTCTAGAATTCTAGATCACCATGGATGCTAAGACCTGAATTCAAGTCTTCTGTAAGGGCAGCAAGTGTTCTTAACTGCTGAGTCATCTCACCAGCCATGAATCTGCATCTTTCTAACTCTCTAATCCATGGTCCAGCCATGCATCAACCCCAACCCACTAGCCAAAGGCACCAGGAGATTTACCTCTGTGAAGTTCAGCGCAGTATCCTCTGAGAGGGATTTATTGGGCAAGCTGAGGGATACATTTTGAAGGTATCTTAGCACAGTTGCGGGTATCTGGAAGTGTTTTCTCTCCTCCGTCAGGTTGGTGATGATAGGGTGGTAGGCATCTGTGGGCATCTGAAAGACAGTGGCCACATGGCTTCCTGCTAGGAACTAAAACCAAGACATTCTATGGAAACTCAGGGTGACCCCTGGCTCTGGGACAGTAAAGACAATGACAAGACTGGTCCCACACATGGACCACTCTTCTGTGAAGAATCTGCACAGGACACCATGCTTGTGAGACAAGGACTGTTTGAAAGATGAAATCCTGAATCCGAGCGGATAAGAGTCCAGACACTCACTGTCAAAGTCCCTAAGGAAAGGACATTAAATACACGAAAGCTAAGTTGAAGCAGGCACATTCTGTACAAATCAACCCATTTCTCTGACATCAGAAGAAAAGGCACAAAAGCAAGTGGAGAAGAGATGGGCCTCAGGAAAGAGGAAACCATTTCAGGGGTCACCGGCTCCCAAGAATATCCGTTCGTCCTAGCATTCCAAGGAGCAGGACTCAAGAGGATCCTACTTCCAACCACTCTGGGCACCAAGAATTACCCTGAAATGGACAAATAAATAAAAAAAAAAATAATAAAGCTCTCCCTTTATGAGTTCGTTCTGGATAGGACGCTGGGCGTACTGGCACACATCGGAAGCCAATGCTACAGCGAGAGGGTGGAGTTGTGGTTTGAACTTGAAGCACCCTTTCACAGAGCCTCCTGTGTTATAAAGCTTTGGCCTCTGTCCCGTGGCGGTACTAAGGGGTGATTGGGTCATGGCAGGGTGCTAACTCATCAACGGATTAAACTCATTGAATGAGTTTCTATATTGTAGTACGATCAGTAGACAGTGGGTTTAGGTGGAAAAAACCGGATGTGCCATTGAGGGATACTTTACCCTCAGATTCTCGTTCCCCTCCCCTCCTCTCCTCCCACCCTTCTCCCAACCCCCACCCCCACCCCTACTTCTGGGCTGAAACAGAACATGGAACAAGCGCCCTTCCTCCACTTGGCTTTCTACCACCATCCTGCCTTGTCTCAGGCCCTCAGCAATGCACCTAGCTGTAGCTGTAGCATCAAGCTAGCCGGAGCCCCTGTCAGAGCCGAGGAGCAGTGGGAACATAGCGGCTGCCCTGAAACAAGCCGGACCGAGTGTCATTTTCTAAATATTACCCACTATACCCAGCACACAGAGGACTGAAAGCCCCTCTCCCTTGGGTTGTCTTCTCAGGTATTTTGTCCCAGCTATGAAAAGTGATTCACACACAAGGTAAAGGGAAAGGCCCTGCTCACCATGGTGTGTGCTGTGAGCATTGCCGGCGGTGTGGAAGATAACAGAGCTTGTTTACCTGAAAAATAAAAACAAAACAATGCTTTAACGAAGGCTAAGTCACCCTTTGTCATCCCCAGGGAGATCTGTCCTTATTCAGAATTTTCCAGCTTGAGACGCCCTACAGAGACACGGGATGTTTTGAGTGTGGACATAGCTGGGAAGATAAAGGGCTCATAAATCAGCCTAAAATGTAGATTATATGGATTTTCCCAGCAGAAATTATTTTTCCATTTATATTGTAAATTGCTTCTGAACACCGTTCATGCAAGCCATCACATAAAGGGATGCTTTTATGCAAGGTCTCACGAATTTCAAACAAAGCAAGAATGAGAAATAGCCTTCACTGGCACCCAGACTCGTTACAGATAAAACACGGGACTCTTAATCACTAGGTATTATAGTTTGAATCAGAAGCATCTCCCACACTGGAACACTGGGTCCCCAGCTGGTGACACTATTTTTGGAAGGGCTCTGGAATCTCTGGAGGCAAAGCCTGGCTAAAGAAGCTGGCACCGTTAGGGACAGGTCCCTGAGGGTTTATTTATCCCTGCCCATTTCCTGTGGTGTGAACAGATGTCCTTTTTGGCTGTGATGTCCCATTCAAATGTATGGAGCCCATTGGCCACCAGCTGAACCCTCTGAAACCAGGAGCCAATATAAACCAATCCTACTTAAGGAAGTAGCTTCTGTCTGGTCTTTTGTTGCAATGTAAAAACTGATACACTAGGCTCAGGTAGACTGGACACCACTCAAAAAGTAGTGGAGGAGACAGAACCTCTTATTGTGAGGAATCTTGTTACACTCTCTACTGATGGCCCTGGTTAATTAAGAGCCATTCCCAGTAAGATGCTCAAGGTCAAAGATGAAGCCTCCGCTTGCCTCTCCCTGCCTGAGCTTCACCGCCTCTTTCTAATTCTCTTGTTTGAGGATGAGAACACAGACTTCTTTGATACTTGACCTCATTTTTGAGAAATGTCTCGAGGTTGCTTTGGGTGACCTGAGGAAATGACATCATCACCCTGGCTGGCTCAAGAGTGACGGGTCCCTTGGGACTGGGTGGGATGAGCTGGCTGGTGACGTAAAGCTGGACCCCAGAAGCACATTGTTCTCCAAGATCCAGTGACATTCGTCGCTCGGGGACCAAGCACTTACAGGGCAGCCATTCCGTGTGTTTGTGTCATGTCTGGCAATGGGAATGAAGCTTTCCCTGTGTACAGTGGAGTGGTCACGTGAGACGGAGATGAGAAGCAGGACTCTGCCGTGCCTTGGTCCATCTCAGTCCCCATGTGATTCCTGCTTTGGGATCATATGGCAGGTGGCAATGTCCCTATGTTTCACAGATGTATGGACTGAGATCTCAGGATCTGGCCCTGGCCCTCTCCTCTCTCTGCCTCTGCACAGGCCCTGCTCCCCACTTGAGTGGCAGGACCTGGGATTGTTGGAGGAACATCCTACCTTTCTAGGCATCAGTAAGTGTTAGCGTTTGTACAGAATAGCTACATCAGGTGACCCTCAGAGACAAGAAATATGTCGGTGGCAGAAGTCAGGAGAGGCGGCCACATGGTCATCCCTTAAGGATGATGAACTATTTGAAAACGGTATAGAGACTATGGTTGCACACCTGCCAATTTCCTCAATACTATCAAACTGTTTGCCTCTTTACTTTTATTTTTGTGTGTGCATATAGAAGCAGAGGTCAACCTCAAGGTCATCCCCAAGGAGCTGCCTATCTACTTTTTTTTAACTAGGGCCTGGGGCTCACTGATAAGGGAAGCTGGCTGGACACTGAGTCCAAGAGCTCCTCCTGTGTCTGCCTCCCCTATGCTAGGATTATAAGCACATATCACCACACTCTGCTTTTTAAATGTGGGCCCCAGGATTTGAACTCAGGTCCTTGTGCTTGAGAGACAAACACTTTACTTACTAAACTATCATCCTGGCCCTATTTTTTAAAAATTGCTCACCTTAAATGGTTACACACAGATGTTATATGAATGAATTTATCAAAGCTTTTTAAATATCCCATAGCAAAATGAAGAATTAAACCATGTTCCCCTGCCTATAGGTCCCCGTACTGAGCACTGAGCGAGCAGAAAGAAGGTAGTTTGGGGTCTGAGGCCCAGCAGAGAGAATATACACGGGACATATACACAGGAGACATTTGTTAAGGACCTGAATATTTGCCACCAAAACATCTGTAATCAGCCTTTTCATGCCCTGTGGAGCCTACAAGGATCTGGGAATATTAATCTCAGTGTCTCCGGTGAACTGTTTGCTCATTTATCTTGGGGAACAGGTGTTCAGAAACATGACTATGAGAAGGTTCATTAAGACCCGGCTCACAGCTGCCATGACAAGAGCGCTGTGCCAAGCATCTCTAGGTACAGACCCCAGAGCCACGCACAGTCATCCCGTGCACTGACCAATGGCAGCTGTAAAGTACAACTTGATCTCATCGGGGGTCAGCGCCCGTTCCCAGATGATGAACTCATCGAAAGCTCCATTCTCGTAGCGCTTGGTGGGGTCCTGTTCTGACCCTATAACCATGTGGACGTGGGGATCCCCATAGGTGTGAGACACTTTCCCACTCGGGTCCGAGGTGCTTAGAGTTCCGTTGACATAAACCTTCAGGCCCTCCTTGGATTTCCACGTGAAGAGGACATGAGTCCAGTAAGGACCTGGAAGAGAGTAAAGATGCATCCTGAACATAGCCAATAAGTTCTACGTGAGCTCCCCAAGTCCCTAAGCACATCCCGCCTTCACGTGATAATTGACCTTAGTGAATCCACCTATGGATTATAGCATAACCTGATTCCCCTTAGACCTTTGGAGCACAGGATCTTTGCTTCCACCACCAAATTCCAAAAGCAATTTGAGAAGACCCTTTATTACTTTAACACAATGGTCAGAAATGTAAACACCTACAATCAAAGGTTATAAGAGACTTGTTTAAAAGGCCCGACCAATCAAATCCCAATCCTCGTTGAGAAATCTCAGTATGGTCCGGAACAAGACATGAATATCTTCCATCACAGCCCCTGGCAGTCCCCACTGTTACAGTAGGCAGGGAAAGAGGCACACGAGCTGAGAGGAACAGAATACAGTTATCTTTGTTAGTAATACTAAAAGCAACTCCTGAAATGCACAGGTGATAGTCACATGATTAGTGGGTAAAAGGCTAAGGGACAAAAGTCAACATTGTCTTCCAGCTTGACAGTAATGACCATATGGAGTGTGTGTAATAGATATACACACTCACACGGTCATGAGCGTCACAAGTGAATGTGCACATGATGTGTGTACATACATACACACACATACAACTGAGGAAAACTACAAAAATGAGGAAAGAATTCATGTCTAGATTGATATCCCATGTTCATAGACAGGAAAACTCCATGTTGCTAAGGGACCAGCTTGTCCCAGTCTGACCTGTAGACTCAGTGCAATTCAAATTAACCCAAACCCCAGGACATTACCCTTTGGACAGCCACCATTTGAGTCTAAAGTCTACACAGAGAGACAAATACCAAGGAAAGTCACATAGAATAGGAGAAAAACCGAGTTGGAAGACCCACATGGTTTCCCTTTGAGGCTAAAAATGACCTACCCAACTGAGAGGCCTGTGGAGTGTGTGCAGCCACTTGTAACTAAGAACAGCCATGATTGAGGAGCCGTGCAAAACTGTAAACATGCTTAAAACATGGTGAGATCCCTTTTTTGCACTTCAATAGCACAATTTTCAAGCGTGAACTTTGCAGGGAGTGGTGGTGTTTTCCAGCGACCAGAGGTTGAACAGGCTTGGATCGGTAAGTAAAGCCATGTGGTGTTGGGGGTACAAACAGATAGATCAGAGGGACAGAACAGACAGCCCAAAGGTAAAGCAACACAGACACCATCTGCTGATACCTGACAGGAGCAGAGCCAGCTCAGTGGAACAAATTCAGTCTCTGTAACCCAGGAGGCTGGGAAACCCAGAGGGCCGGATGCAAAAATACCAAGAAATGAATCAGAACCCCATGCGTATCCTCAACACTAATTCAAAGTAGATGGTAGATATAAAATCCCAAATGCAGAGCTTCTGGATTATAAAAGGAGAAATCTAGAATGACCCCAAGGTTGAGTCTGACTTTTAAAAAAGCAGTGTTTGTTTGTTTGTTTGTTTGTTTGTTTTACTCTATGTGTTTGGGTGTTTTCTTACTTGGAAGCAGGAGTTGATGCAGAGGCCATGGAGGGGTGCTGCTTACTGGTTTGTTTCCCATGCCTTGCTCAGCCTGCTTTTTTATAGAAGCCAGGACCACCAGCCCACAAATGGCACCATCCACAATGGGCTGGGCCCTCCTAATCAATCACTAATTAAGAAAATGTCCTACAGGCTTGCCTATAGCCTCACTTTATAGTGAGATTTTTCTCAGTTGAGGCTCCCTCCTCTCTGATGACTCTAGCTTGTGTTAAGTTGAAATAAAGCTGTCTTGCCTGTGTATGTCTGTGCACCGTACGCATGCAGTGCCCGTGGAAGGCAGAGAGACCATCAGAACCCTAGAATTGAACTTGCAGACAGTCCTGAACTGCCATGTAGGTGCTGGGAATTGAACTCAGATCCTCTGGAGAAGCAGCAAGTGCTCTTAAAAACCAAGTCATCTCTCCAGCCCCTTGATGCTGTGCACACACACACACACACACACACACACACACACACGTCTGGGGGGGGTATCTGCAGTGAATACTGTTACACAAAATGGCCAAAGTGTTCTTCAGAACTCACAGTAAGCGAGTGAACACCCCTTAAAGATAGGTAAAAGGTCAAAGCTCAAAACAAGCTCCTCCTCAACAGATAAAACGTATGACAGCAGGAATGGACCCTGACATCCCCCCGCAAATAAGCATACGTTAGTCTGGCACATCTCTGAAGCATAGCGCGGGGTGTGGTGCTGCCAGGGTCATGTGCAGAGGTAGGAGGCCCCTGGAAGCCCTCTGTTCCTTGGACTCAATTTCACTATGGGACAATAGTACTGTCATACCAGACTAGCGTCCACACACCTGGTCTGCAGAGCCAATGGAAAGGTGGAGTAGCAACCTGGTCTCACTGAAGACAGGCCACCGTGCTGACTAGGCTATATAGGAAAGTGGGTGCTCTACCTAGGAGGCAGCCCCTCTTCCCCCTCCTGCCACTAAAAGATGGAGGTTGGGTGGCCATTCTCTTTTGTTTCCAATGGGAACTTGGAAGATCTGACTTTTGACATGAAACCACAACTCACTCAAAAGGTCATTGATAATCTGAAAACTCACAGGGCAGGAGCCACCAAACCATCCAAAGGCCTGGCCTGACATAGCATATATGACATTAACCAACATGGAGTGGCACAGTGACTATAGCCAGCCTCCTGACTCCATCAGAAACCTCATAGGAAGACTGCCCCCCCCCCAAAGGGCCTCATCTGTTTTGAAAGCCTTGGTGTTAAGAGATCCTCCCGGGGTTGACAAAGATGACACGGGCAGCCCCCTCTGAAGGACACACAGTGCCCCTGCCCGTGGGTCACTGTGGACTGCCAGTGATTACGTCAGAGCTTCCTGCTGGGGATTGTGTAACACTTTAGTAATTTTGACACTCCGAAGAACACTAGGATCCTAAGCAGGGCCAAAGCGTTATTGTGCTTGACTTTGAAAGTGAGAATAACAAAGCCCTCCAGTGAACAAATGAGGAGCAGATGAGGAAAGGATGTTTACAAGTCTCTCTCGGCATCCCTGGGTTGGAAAACAGCACGTGTTCAGTTTCAAAGAACCTGCTAGATGCCTGATGCTTGCCACAAACCCAAGGCCCATGGGGGGAAATGAGCTGTTACCTAGGAAACCTTGACCACAAGCGGTCCTCACTGAGAGCCATTGCTGAGATTCAAATGGAGCCTCCATAAGCAGGAAGGCAAAAGTGTTTCCAGCCTTGGGATGAGGAAAGAATCCGGAAATTTGATATCTTCCCTAGCTGTGTGTCCCCACCTTGCAGAGGAGGAGCTATGAGTCCAGCTGAAGCAAGTCTGACACCCACAGAGCAAACCCAAGTCTCCCAGGGTTCTGCAGCCCATTGTTCAAGACTCCTTTAATTTATCAGCCGGCTGTCTCCCAGTGAAATAGAAACTGTTACTCTTCTCGTGTTACAAATGAAGAAATGGACGAAAGGTGGTTGAATATGATACCAAGTCTCTAAAGCTACAAAGTACAGAGTTAGGACCTGGCCTGACATCTTAACAAGTTGTACCATCTCCTTCAAATGGACCAGAAAAGGATGCTGAGCTGCTTCAAAGACATTGTTCTCAACCTTAATCAATGCTCCAACCCTTTAATATAGTTCCTCATGTTATGATGACCCGTCCTGTCCCATAAGATCATTTTCAATGTTACTTCATAACTGTAATCTTGCTACTGTTATGAATTGTAGCATAAATATCTGATATGCAGGATATCTGATATGTGACCCTAGTGGGGGGGGTCTCAAGCCATAAGTTGAGAACCATTGTTCTAGAGGCTTATTGGGAGGACCCCCTGCCTCTGCCCTGGCTAGTTTCTGTCCAGGTCCTCTGCATGCCACATGAAACCCCTCTGTGGACCTGGTCACCTTCCTCCTCTGATATTCTTGCACTCTCCTCAGTATGTTCTTGGTTCGGGTGTCCAGTCTCCATCTCAGCTAATATCACACCGCAGAGCTTCTCCACTTACTCTGAAACTTGGGCCCTTGGCATCCCGGTCCCCTCCCACTGGTTTTAAAGGTACATCCTTAATCAAGACCACACAATACTGCAACCTCTCCTCCTGCCTTACTGCCAGCTCCCTGGTTGGTAGCCTGTCTTCCCCAGAACTTTTTGCACCGTGCTGAGAGCAGCTTCAAGACCATACCACCTAAAGATGTGGTGACAGGGGGATTTAACCACACACAGTCTATCTTCTGCACACAGTTTCCACTTTGGTCCCAGACAATAACTGGGTGCCTGTCAAGTCACCTCCATTATGCAGAAAACCAACCTCACACAGCCACTGAGGCAGCAGCAATCATGCAGCAAGAGCACGTAGTCAGGGCTTTCACCCTGGCATGAGGTCACCTTGTGACAACTGTCCTCCTGACACCTTCTTAAGCTGCTGGAAGGAAGGAGCCCTATGCCACACTAATGGGACGGGAGCTCAAGTCGGTGCTGCACTCACCAGGAGGGTTGAAGGTGGCCTTCCACGTCATGGAATTGTCACGTGTGTACAGCTCCACGGAGCCCTTTCCACCACTAGAGCAGACTTTGAACCCGTCAGAGACAACCTGTCCCCCATATGCATAGGGGGCTGGTTGGGTATGCTCTCCTTGAGTCTTCCAGAAGAATGAAAATGTCACTCCTGAAGAGAAAAGTAGGCATTTATCAGTTGGTCTTTCAGAGACATGAAACACCACAGCACTATCCAGTGAAGGCCAGGTACCATCACCTCCTTCCAAATAGTGCAAAGCCTTGCTCTCATTCCCAGGGCACTGGAGAGGAAACTGAGACCACTCAGTTAGTGACTGACTCTAAGTCAGATACAGATCCAAGCTGGCTGCCTCTAGGTGTGCAAACGTGAACCCTTTCATGACTGTCTCCACCCCACCTGCTCACCCCGATCCTGACAACGATTTCACACAGGAAGGAACTGTTTCATTCACTCTGCTTACACACAGCACCTTTTTAAAGATTTAGAGCCTCCGGGATGTCCTCCCACATCCGTAAATACACTTTCCACTGTCATTTTTATGTCTGCCCGGCATCACATCCTCAACAACCCCCTGTTTCTGAGTCATATGCTTTGCTTCAAAGTTTTGAAGGAAGGTTCCAAAATGAACTCGAAGCTATTTTTTTTGACATATCTTAAATTGTATATATTTCAGAATATGTTCCCCAGGGAGTGTTCTCGTGAAAAAGGAAAGCTGATTTTTTTTTTCAAGGTTCGTAATGCCTTGGCTGCTAACTGCCTGTGGGTGAAGGTGGGAGGTAGGCAGAGAAAAGAGCAGCTACCATGTTTCGCCGATGCCCAGCCCGGGTATGTATGATGGCTAGTTTTAATCATCAAGTTGACACAACCTAAAACCACCCAGGAAAAGAATCTCAATAGAGAGCTGTCTAGATCAAGTTGGTCTGTGGGCATGCCTGGGATGAATGATCTTCCTTGCTTTAACTGATATAAGAAGACCCAGACCGCCCACGGTGGGCAATGCCATTCCCTAGGCTTGGGTTCTGAACTGTATAGGAGTAGAGAAAATTAGCTGAGAACAGCATGCATTCATTCATTCTCTCTCTGCTCTTGACTGTGGATGTGATCTGAGGAACAGTTTTATAAGTTCCCTCTGCTTTGACTTCCTGACAATGGTGGATTATAACCTAGAGTCTTGACTTAAATAAATAAATACTTTCTCCCTAAATTGCATTTTGTCAACACAGTTTATTGTAGCAAATTTGAAACCCAGACTCCATGATGGGGTAAAAGTGTTATGTTATGGTGGATTATATGGCCTCCCCTAGGAACATCACTGTGATTGAGTCAGGTCACAGACGCAAAGAGAATATAACTGACCAGCTAGGCTCTGGATGGCCAAGAGTATCTGAAATGCATACAGGCAGGTCTGGGACCACCTTTTATACAGGTCCATCAGGGGACAGACCCAACAGGAGGCCTCCATGGGTAACAGGCCTCCCTGAGGTTACACTGTCGCTTTTCTGCTTCAAATATCCTGTGCCTTGCTTCCAAGCCAAGTACACTGTATATGTGTGTTTGTATGTGCAGGTGTAACTAGCCACCTGCTGAACTCTGTGTATAAAAGACAGAAATAAAACAATTGTTTGGCTCTTCACGCTTGAGCATGTCAATGAGCCAGACTGTTCTCCCCAGGGCCAATCATCACAGGACACCATGGATCAAGGTACAAGGAGGAGGAGGGAGAGAGGTACAGGGACATTTGACCTGGTCTTATTTATATAAATGACACCAAATTGACTTCACTGTTATTGTCAAATGTGGTCATGTACAGAGGCTTAAAAGATTCCTGTTACTGGTGTGGAAATTGGTGTCTCATTGCCAGCCATCTTTGCTGCCAGGCCTTATGGGTTGGTCTGTTAGAGTCTTTTGATGGCTTTGTGACAATCATGCTGCCTCATGCCTTCTGGTATTGAACTCCCCATATGACTAACTCGAGCCTGGGGAATCTGGCACAAATGTCAAGCTTGGAATTCCTCCATTTTATTTTTTTCTGTCCAAGAGGAATCTCAAGATTTTGAATGCTCCTGAGAAAATAGTGAGTGATTGATGGATGTTTGGAGTGACAGATTTCAAATTGTCCTGCTCTGGTTAGTCCTCAGCATATACGTGTTGATGTGACATGTAGCACCCGTAAGAACACATAGTTGCTCTGGGTGGATCAAAACTGAAAATCAAGATCCAGGAGATGGCTCAGCAGTTCGAGCATTGGCCAGGCAAGTGTTACTTCTGGAATCTGGCTCTCTATAAATCACGTAAATGCCTGACCATGACAGCCTGCTTATAATTCCACCCTCAGAGAGCTGAGACAGAGAGTCCCCAGAGCAGGCTGACTAGCGAGACAAACCATATCCATAAGCTCTGGGTTTGATTGAGAGACCCTTCCTGAAGAAATAAAGTTGAAGAACAACACACAGTCCCTCTCCCACATACACACAGATGTAAACATGCACACATACATGCACAGGGAAAAAATGGAAAAATAATTAAAGCCAGTCAAGCATGACGGCGCAGGTCTAGCAACTCAAGGACTTGGGAGGCTGAGGCAGGAAGATTGTAAGCTCAAGGCTAGTCTGAGCTACATAGTGAGTTCAAGACAATCCTAGGCAACTTAATGAGATCCTGTCTCAACAAAACATAAGAAGACCGTGAATGAAGTTGAAAGGTTATAGAGATCTTGCCCAGTGTGCTGGCCATGGGATTAATCCCAGAGCCGAAAATTATAAACAAAATTAAATTATCTATCTATCTATCTATCTATCTATCTATCTATCTATAGTTATATAGATCTATAGATCTATCTATAACCTATTTTTCTATCTAATATATCTATATATCTAATGTCTATAGATACAGATAGACTTCAGCCAGCCACTGGGATAGGGCTCCATCAGGCTCAGGTGGTACCCTGCCCCTGTCCCTGCCCCTGCCCCTGCCCCTGCCCCTGCCCCATCCACCTCCCTGCACTTGAAACAAGCAGTTTTGTATGGAAATGAATAAGGCATATTGTGAAATTTTTGTTGTGAAATGTATCCCCAGCAGGATTCATGGAAGTCATTCCTCCCCGCTCCCCGCCCCTCAAAGGGGGAAAAAAAATGTTGCTGCTTACAAAAAAAAAAAATTCCTTTCACTCAACTCAAAATGATGCTGTCTCTGCCAAATGTGCCTCTGCCCAGGAAGAGAAATGAAAATGAAAAATTCAATACGGTGTTAGGTAATAAGAATAAAAATTAAAAATTCAGGATAGTGTTGAACCGGGACGAGGAGAAAGTGGGCCATGAACTCTGCCAGTGAAGCCACTTATTTTAGCTCAGCCAACCTGCAAAGTAACGACTCCTGTCTGCGGAAGCCCTCACTGAAATATCAGTCTGCGTCTCCACGGTGTGGAAAGATTCACAATGTGTTCACAAGAGCACCTGTCAAAAGCTTAGATCATCAACACAGAGAAGGAAGTCTGAGGGGGAAAGAAATAAGCATAACACAGCACATTGGTTCCATAGTTTGCTCCTGTTAGCGTCGGTAAATCCTCATCTTTCTATGGCCCCTTGTCAGGGATGCACTGAGTTAAACAGAAGCATCCACGAGGCAGCCGGACCAGCTGCGTCTGCTCGCTAAATGCACCATGAGTGCTGCCTTGTGCTGAACACTGTAAAAGGTCTCAGAGAGCCAGAGGTGGTCCAGACAGAGTCCCCCACAGTGCCAGAGGCTAGAAAGGAGATGTGACAATATTCTACCATCAATCACCAAGTCCTGTCGAGAAGCTGCCACACAGAGACCGAAGGTCTGAGGCAGAGGCGCTTGGCAAGTAAACTAAGCTTAGAACAGAGGCCCAGTTCTGCAGGTAGATGCCCAGATCCCCAGAGAGTACCTTCTCACTCTGAGCATCCCCACATGGGTGCTCTATGTGGTGAAGGAGACAGTAACTGGAAGAACACAGACGTCTCCCTGAAACTGATGCTCTGGCTTCCGTATGTGTCTCAGTTGATAGAGTGTTGATCTAGCAAGTATGAAGCCCTGAGTTTGATCTTCTTAGCACTGCATAAGATCAGGTATGGGGTGAATTCTTGTAATTCTTGTCTTGAAAGAAAGCAAAGTGGAAGGAGAGAGAGAGAGAGAGAGAGAGAGAGAGAGAGAGAGAGAGAGAGAGAGAAACACCCTGCCTGATGTGTTTTGATAGTCATTTGAACTGGGGACCAGCTCAAACTGTAGGTTAACAAACACCAAGACCTTAACACTTGGACATTTAAAATTATTCCACAGTTTCTCACAAAGCTAAAAATAAAACTATCCTGCCACCCAATCATATCACCTATGGGCATGTATGTATATATATATATATATATATATATATATATATATATATATGACTCTACATCATATCACAGAGACACTTGTACATCCACGGTCATGAATCCTCTACACAATAGCCAGAAAATGGAACCACCCTGGCTGTCTCTCAGCTGCTGAAGGAACAATGAGAAGGTGGTACCTTTACACAACTGAATCCTATTCCACTTTAGAAGAGAATGAAATCATGAAATTTGCATGAGAATGGGGGAAGTAGGAAACATTATACTAAGTGAGGTCACCCCCGTGTAGAAAGATACAATGTCTTGTGTTCTCTCTCATACGCAGAGCCTCACTTTGAAGTCTTAGATTTGTGTGTTTAATTTGGAGTCTCTATAGAGAAGCCAGAAAGAGCCTCTGAGAAGGGGAGGGGAAGAGGCCTGAATGTACAAGATGATAGAATATATGGTCTGTGAAAGTGGAGTGATGCATTCTGGGAAAGCAGAGTGAAGCATGCTGGGGGTTAAAGGGTTAAGCGGGAATGGGGGCAGGGCAGGAGCATGGGTTGGGGGGGGAAGGATGAGATGAGATGGTGAGCTAACCAAAGCTAGAGATGTGTGAAGAATGCTTCTGGAAGTTACTACGTTGTAAGCTAATTAAAATATATATGTAATTTTCAAGATGAATTTGAACAGAAGCTGCCAGCATAGGTGAACAATGAGGCTCTAGGAAGAGTTCTTAAACAATGATCTCAGTGTCAGTCTTGGGCATCCTCCTACGAATTATGTACTGGTCAGGGAGGCCTCAAAGACCGCTGAGGCAACACAGGTTCTTGTCCTTGTTCTTGGTTGCCCACAAAAACTAGACAGTAAGACCCTACTGCCAAAGACACCACATACTTTGGTGGCAGGGCAGAGAGAAATCAAGCTAGGACTAACTTGGAAACCTCTCTCTTGGCTACCTTTCACAGTGTCGGAAAGGGTTATGGTTGGCACTGAGAGAAGAAAAGCAATTATTGATTTTATTCATTGCTGGACTCTATGTGATACAACACTGACCTGCCAAGGAAGATGTGCCCATGGGTGTGATAATGGTGTGAGCGTTGTGACGTAACCAGCTAGTTTCTAATTGGATGTAAGGCCTGCCCTCTGCCCAGAAAGAAATTCATACCTGGTCCTGTCAACTTGGTCCACAGCCTGTGGCTGGGGAAGTCATAGACCGCTTTGATAAATGGGCATGTGATTAAACTGCCTTCTGAATATGTATCTTTATACCCATAGACCAGTGCTGCTGCCAGTCCTGGGCAGAGAAGCGTCCCTTTGCAGTGGGCAGTGGTTAACACAGAGATTCGTGAGTGCTCAAAGTGCTGGGAATCTGTGACTACTGTGTGTTCATCCCTAAATAAGACATCTGGTCAACCCTTCCGAGGCATGGGGAACGTCACAGAAAGGGGGGGGGAGGAAGAATATAAGAGCAGGGAGATGGAGAGGGGAGCTGTGAAATGCTGTCTTCTGGATCTGACAGGGCTGTCGCACCCACAAGCTCACAGTAGCTCCGGGAGCCCGCCCAAGGTCAAGTCAGTCGACGGTCCAACACAAATTGGGGAGGGGCTCATCAGGTCCCACCCCTAGCTGAGGTGCTATTGGTAGTTGATGACTACTGGGGGAGGAGTCAGTCTTCAGGGGTGTGGCCACTGCAGGTTGGCCCTGCTCTGGGGGATGGTCTCTCAACCACGCCCGCAGACAGATCCAACCAGATGAATAGGTTATGACGAGAAAAAGAGAAAGAAGGCACGATCCTGGATTGGATGGTAGACGATAATGTCCCCAAAGGATTCAAATGTGGTCCCAGATATGTCTCCACGAAGTCCCGACTTTAAGGGGAGAGGTGGGGCCCGCCTTTTTTTTTTTTTTTTTTGACACGTCTGTCTTGACTTCCAGCCGCAGGTCACAGGCTGGAGCAGGTCCATCCACCATCCAGCCACCCTCAATGAACACATAAGAAGTGAACCCGGTTTGAGGGTTAACAGGCACACCCTGCTCTGCCAGGCCTGACCCATCATCCACATCCCAGAACCAGAAATAACGCTGGGAGAGCCAGCCCATCAATTTCCTTCCCACAAAGGCCGGGCTCCATCCCAACCGGAGTGACATATAACTCAGTGGCTCTGTTTTAAACAGGGATGTTCCCCATTCTTCTACAAGGTTAAATATTTTGATCTCCTGGCTCTGTAACACAATGTCCTAACTTTCGGTCTCCAGGACAGGCCTACGTTCGAGTGGCTGCAACCCTTCCCTCCTCCCTGTCTCTACCCTCTAACTTGTCTCTGACATTTTCACACATACTGCAGCTGATAAGAACTCTGTTCCCTTAGGCTGGGGACGTGATCCAGCAGGTAGCAGTCCTCACTGCACAAGCGTGAGGATTCCAGTTCAGGTGTCTGGAACCCACATTTAAAAGAAAAAAAAAAAGCCAGGAATAGTAATGTGTACACCGAAGCCCAATGCTATGGTGGGGGACTTCAAGAGGATTGATAGGGCCATCAGCCTAGCTCCAGGATGAGTGAGAGATTCCATCTCAGGGGATAAGGTACTGAGTGATAGAACAGGACCCCCGCATGAGCACATTTACTGAACGTGTGCGTGCGCGCACATGCACACACACATACACACACACACACATGGGGTTAGGGGGTAGAGAGGGAGAGAGATGCACAGACTCTGTTCACATATGCCACTAGCAGGGTGGCATGTACACCAATCCCAACTTCAGGTCCACACAGGACATACACACAAACACACATGCCCGCATGCACGCACACGCACATACACATGCACACTCTGTTCACATGTGCCACTAGCAGCATGTGTTAGCATGTACCCGAGCCCCAACTCACCCTCTGGTCCACACTGGGCGGGGTTGCTAATACAGGATGACTTGTAGCTGCCGTAGTAGAGAAATGTCACCCCCTTCTCCTCCTTGAGGTAAATACCTTTGTTCACCTTTCCTTCCATGATATCTAAGAGAGGGAAAGGACATGTCAGCTACCCAATTGCCACTGGAAGACTAAAGACACATATCAGACTTACAAGCAAGTCACAAATGACTGCCCAGCATTAGCCTCCCTCATCACGCATTCATAATGCCACGTTATTCCCTGATAGTAATCGCATTCACTAATATTTAATAATTGATAGTGAAAATGTGAATGATTCATAGGTTTAAGTGTTGGGGAATAAATTATTACCTTCTATTAACATCAGGTCCGCATGACCTACATTTTCCTGTAACAATATTGTAACAGACATATTTGCCAACTGTCGAACCCTAAACGCCACTCACACTCCTGCTATTCGAGTCCTGCCCACTCGGCCCCACTCTGAGCTTTGTGAGTGGAGCACTCTCACTGGTTAAGTGTGAGGGGCCATTGTTGCATCCTAGCCTTCCCAGGTACTCACTGAAGCATCCTGGGGTCTCCATGTATGCAGCCTTGGCTTTAGAGCTATGTCCAGACCCAGAAGAAACAACAGCTCCATTTGGAAAGTCCCAGAAGGACCTGCCAACAGCAATCCCAGAGAGCCTCAAACCTAGGTCTCCCACACAGCTCATTCATGTTTTGTCATGTGCCGTGGCAAAAGTCAGTTGTGTGCTTTACAGACAGATAAGCTACATACATACATACATACATATATAGATATATACCTGTAGATATGTATATATCTATATATGTATCTAAATATGTGTATATATGTATATATGTGTGTATAAATGTATATGTATATAGTGGTGAGGGGTTCTTGCTATGCACCAGAATGAGTAGTTACAGACACTGCTGCAACCTGTGTAGGAACAGGGAGGCGATGGTGCGTGTCCTTCTGGATCCTGGCCAAGTATACACTCAGGATCTGGAGACTCTGCTCACACGTACCACTGGCTAGATGCAATACTCCCTGGCATGTGGCTCTTCCTCCCAAGGGTCCCAGCGTTTAAACTTTCTGGTTCTACTTATCCCATTGGTTGCCATGAGAGAGCTATGTCTCACTTCGCTAAATGGATAACTAGCCACAAGATAATTGAATCGGACTGCCCAGGCCCCAAAAACAGACTGCTAGCTTAGTAAAATCATTTACAAATGCCAAACAGCCCACAGTGGAGAGAGAAATCAGGTGACGGGCTAAGAAAAGATAGAGAGAGGCGGGCACAATCTAAACAGGCTTTCTATGCCCATCGGATGCTCGCCTCCCTTCAGCTCTGAGCTCAAGGGAATCACAGGCTCTGGGTGTCTAACTGACAATCGTGTGACTCAAGTGGATGTGTCTTCTAAAACAGCTCCTAGTGAGTTTTCAGAACTCAGCTATAGAAATGCTAAGGGGTTGTTTGCAAGACCAATTTTTAGATACATTTTAAAACCAACTTCCGGTTTTCATGAGCTGGGTGGGGTTACCGCCCCCCCAACCCAGCCCCCAGCCCCAGCCCTACTCCACAAACACAATGTGTTCAAAAATCCAATTTCTGCCAAGCATGCATGGTGGTGTGCACCTGGAATCCTAGCACTGGGGAGGCAGGGGGAGTGGGTTTTTAAGTTCATCCTTAGCTACACAGAGAATTTGAGGCAAGCCTGGGCTTACATATACCTTGTCTCCAAAAAAGAAAAAAAAATCCATTTTCAATGTTTAGAAAAGATCTGGGCTGTGTTTGTTTTTGCTTCTGAGATCAAGTGACTGATTCAAAAGAGCCTGGCAATGCTGAAGAGACCCCACCCATTCCAGACACCACTATCAGGAAGGCTTCCTAAGCCAGAAGCCTGTATGGCTTTTCCCAATGCCCTGCCTCACTCTGGATTTCCACCGCTTGCCCCTGGCTACCCACTCTCTTACCGGCCAAGAGAGTCGGTCCTACCGAACCAGGTTAGGCTAGCTCTTATACCGACTCTGGGATCCAAATTTGACAGGACCAAGCCGCGGTGCTCACCTACGGTCGCAGACAAGTTGGAGTAGGCAGAGTCATTGGTAAAGACAAAGGTAGCATTGTGGGAGAGAGGCACAGTGAGGTTGAGGGTTCGCAGCGCTGGGTGAAAGGACAAAAGAGGACAACACATGAGTGACGTGAGACACATGAGCGGAAACAGCCACATCTCTCACCCAGCCTCCTCCTGGTCCTCCTCCCCTCCCCACGCTCCCCATACGCTTCTCTGGCAGAATCAATAGCCAGTTCCAATGGCCCCGGAGTTGGGTCACAGCTGACCATAGCCAGAGTCTAGTACATAACGTTCTCACTTTGCTGACTCCCATTCCCAGATGGATGCTTTGTTGAGAGATGTAATGGTGAAGTCAGCCATGTACGAAGCATGGAGACACAGCGGAGAGCGTGGTTGTGACGTGAAGGGCCAATGAGACAGAGACACTGTGGAAAACGGCTGCGTGAGATGGCAGCAGACGAGACAACAGAGGGTTTGGCCACAGACAAAAGGGCTGTGCATCCAGGAGGTGGCATCCAGAGCCATCCAGCTGTCTCCAGCCTTGAGAGGTGCTGAGAGACCCCAGCCTGTCTCTGCATCCTGGGGTCTCATGATGACACACAGACCAGCCACACAGACTGCAGAGGGGGCTCTGACAGGAAGCCGTAGTGCCAGGGCCACATGGCACAGTGTGGGGACAGACGTGGAGGCATCAACAATTTCAACACAAGTCAACACACTCAGTCCCTGCCTCACATCGTGGGACTTCAGAATACCCGAAGCTACTGACTTAATCAGCAGCAGGTGAGCTCATAGGGGGAAAAGGGGTGAAACACCTGGAACGGAGGTCCTGGGGTCCCGAACAACGTTCTTCCACTTAATCAAGTGATCGCCTCTCAGGGACTTTCAGAATAAAGACTTCCGGAGAAAAACATTTAGATTTTGACAAAGAACGATGCTCTGTTTTCCCTAGAGCCAACACACCAGCTGGCACGGGCTACTGCCACCCTTACTAAAACAGAGTGGAGAAAATTCTTGGCTGCAGTACAGGTTGCAGAGGCCACTAGCATCCTACCACATGGGAGGGCCCAAGAAGGATGGAGACAGAACCCTTCGCAGTGGCCCCGCCCACCACCGGCTCCAAGCCCTCAGCTGGTGCTCTAGAATCAAGGTTTTTGCTTTGATTTACTTTAGTTTTATATATATATTTAAAATAAACACTTATCTATCACACATGTGCACATGCATGCATGTTCATATGACACAGCATATATATATACAGGTCAGTAGACAACTTGAGGAGAATATATCTTTCCCTTCCATCACGTAGGTCCTGGAGATTGAATGCTCGTTGTCAGGCTCGCCAGCAAATACCTTCCTCCACTGAACCACATTGCCAGCACATTATTTTCAAAAATGGGGCTTGGGGATGCCTCGGGGACACATGTTACCGTAAGAAGATAATCTTCAGGATTCATTTCTTTTAACACGTGGGTCCCCGGGATTGAACTCAAGTCATGAAACTTGACAGCAAGCACCTTTGTTCACTGAACTATCTCACTAGGCTCTGGGCTCCAAAGTTTTAGGGAGACTCCTTAGAATCTCCTGTGGAGGTCTCCCACTGCACTTAAGTCGCATCCGTGAAGAAGATGACAGGGAGCCGGGGTGGGCCACATGGCCACCAGCAGTGTTTTGAATGTATTGCACCGGAATCTGTATATCTATAGAACAATGACAGTGTGTGTCTGTGTGTTTGTGTGTCTGTGTGTCTGTGTGTCTGTGTGTGTATGTGTGTGTCCACATTTGACCTTCTTAAGAGCAACACCTATATAAAAATAATAATAAAGTAGAAACCTCCAAAAATCATTCTGAATCAACACTCTTTTAAAAGGAGTTCTCCAGGGAATGGATATGCTCATAATTGTCCCGGGTATCTCCAGTATCATGGTCTAAGTTCATCGAAACAGAGAGCCTGATGCCTCCTGTGAACCTGGCACCAGGAAGATCATCTTAAGAGTTGCTGGCTGGGTGTGTAGGTTAGGTGGTTGGTAGACAGGGGATACCTTGCTCTGTGACCGTAAAACATGAACGCGTGTCAAAGTTCATCCTGATCCGTAGCACCTGCCTCTCACCAGCTTGTTGTGGCAAGTCAGTTCTGTGCACCCACAGATGTGCACCCAGACTCACGCCATAGAAAGAGGTTCCACATTAATTAAGGTTTAGGAAACCCTGCCCTTCTGTCATAATGTAGAAATGGTCTCATAAAATACTTGGCAGTGACCATCAGTGAACCACAGAGTGCTCGCCCATCTTGATCACCCCAGCTCCAACATGTCCTGGAACATCTAAAGAGTCCCTCTCTCCAGCATAGGGGCTATCCTAGTACCTGGAGACATTACCATCTCCCTAAGCCCCTGTGAGGCCCTATCCCCATGCCTGTAGGCAGTCCCGTCTCCCGTCTACCTCCAGTTGTGTCCTGAAGCTCCAAGATCCCATCCACGTTTTCCAATGGCCAATAATGAGAAGCAGAAGCCAAGACGGCAAACCCTGCAAAGAAAGGACGGAAAAGTTTAAATCACAATTAGGGAGGCAGGGACTGAAGAAGATTGAAGCTGTCACCCGAGCACTTGGAAAGTGAAGAAGAGTGAAATTGTCATGGTGCCCACAGACCTGGCTGAAAAGCATTAGGAAAATTCAATACACATTTCCCGTTAAACAAAAACCAGCACTTTAAATTAGAAATCAATGGCTAGTTTCTTAATTGAGTAGGACAGGTCAAATAGGGAGGGATGCCTCCTAACTCAGGAAAACAAACGCCCCAACTCTGTCTGTACAGGGCAGCTGCCCATTAGTGGAAGGGAAAGACAGAAACACCTATTATCTGGATGTTTCCTGGAGTGGCTTTAGAGGCAACTTTTGATATAATTGGACCACAGAATGAAACAAGGTTTCAAATGACTTTACAAGAGGTAGCGGCTAACCCCAATGTCTCTCCAGGCATCACAGAGGTGCTTGACAAACACTCCCCTGTGTCTTCTAACAGTAACCCACAAGATAGCACATTCTTCCCTTATTTGTAAAGGGGAGAAGAGAAATTCCTCCTGGGGGGCTGGGGGTGTGGCTCAGTGGGCAAATTGACTGCTGTGGGGGTGTGACTGAGTAGTTATTCTATCCTCTAGACCCACCCGAAATCAGGTGTGGTAGTTAATGCCTGGTAAATTAGGGTGGTAGTCCCACTGCTGGGAAGGCAGAGAAGGGATCCTGGGAGCTCACAGACTAGCTAATTAGTCAAAAGATGAGAGAATAAAGAAGACACACAAAGTCCTCCATGAGAGTATACACACACACGCACACACACACACACCACTGCCCAGTACATAAACATAAAAAGAAAAAATAAACTAGAAGAGCCATGGCCAAGAATAAATAAAAGGACCTGGAGAGGGAAAGGGCAAAGGACCAGGGATGCTGCTCAGATGCACAGCTGAGGATGGCAGAGGTCTTGAGGGGAGTGTCGGACAAGCAGGGAGGTTGCAGTGAGAGGTGTTGGGTACCACGAATGTGGGCAGATGGTCAGTAGGAGGAGGGGCCACGGGTGGCTCCCCTGCATATAGAAAGTTGGCTTATGCTAAAAGTGGCGTTTTGAATCAAAGATTCAATACCACGGGTATTGAAGTCATTGGGCTTCTGGGAAGAAATGAGTTCCTACCTCACGAGTAGATTCAGATAGTTCAAAATGAATATAACACAAACGCTGTGCTAGAAGTGGGTAGGATGGTGTTGGGAACTGGTTCTAATGTGTTGTCTTAATTTGGCTCCCAAAAGTTGCAAGATGCGCTTCCAGACCTGGGGGACCATGCCCCTAGCTGGCTTCAATTAGGAGAATAGCACTTGGGAGGCATAGGCAAGTGGATTTCTGAGTTCGAGGCCAGCCTGGTCTACAAAGTGAGTTCCAGGACAGCCAGGACTACACAGAGAAACCCTGTCTCGGAAAACCAATATATATATATATATATATATATATATATATATGAATTGCCATACAGCCAATAGCTGGGCAGGGAGACGGAAGTGGGACTTTTAGATTGAGAAATCATCCAGCAATGTAGGTAGAAAGAGAATTTGGCCCTATGAGAGGGTCCCCAGAAAGTAACGGAGCAGCAAAGATAAACTATACATTTAGAAGGTGTTAATCCAGGAATACTGGAAAGGAGTGTTTGCTAGCCCCTGGGAGGTTAAGAAGTACCTAGCCATTGAGCTAGTCAAGGCATATCAAAATTAGCTAGTGTGTGTGTGTGTGTGTGTGTGTGTGTGTGTGTGTGTGTGTGTTTCATTTGAGAATCCGGAGAGCTCTTGGGCTGGCATAGCGAAAGCGTGACCCGTCAGGAGCCAAAGCAGTTTCACTGATTCCCAGATACAGGATGGTACACACAGCTTTCATCTCAGTTTGGGAGGCAGAGGCAGGTGGATCTCTGTAAATTCCAGGCCAGCCTGGTCTACAGAGAGAGTTCCAGGGATACACACAGAGAAATCCTGTCTCAAAAATCAACAACAACAACGACAAGGGTGAGCCAGGTGCCGTGGCCTGTGCCCTGTGCCTGCACGTAATGAAGGTTTAGGGACTGCGCTCTGCCTTTCTACAATAACATTTTGAAGTATCCAGTGCTCCCTCATCTCCATCACCGTGACACGTCCTTTCGTCCCTCTTGAGAGGTGGAAGGATTATAAGTTCAGAGCCAACCGCCAAGATATAATGAGTTCTAGATCAGCCTGGGCTGCACAAGACCCTGATTCAAATAGACAGATAGAAGCTTTCACGTTTAGCTGATTTTGTAAATTTCTCTACAGGAAACACACAGTATATATATGACAGAAACACGCTGATTTCTTTTTTAGATGTATTCAATTTAGTGCATTAAACTTCTTATGGGATAGGCATATGGGTCAGTGGGAGAGTGTTCTCCTAATATGCATGAGGACCCAGATTCAATGCTTAGGCAGCAGAGAAAGGGGGAAAGGACAGAAGGAAGAAAGGAAAGAAGGAAGGAAAGAAGGAAGGAAGGAAAGAAGGAAGGAAGGAAAGAAGGAAGGAAGGAAGGAAGGAAGGAAGGAAGGAAGGAAGGAAGGACAGAAGAAGGAGGGGAGGAGGGAAGGGGAAGGGAAGAGGAAGCAGGGAGGGGGAGGGAGGGGGAAAAGGGAGTGAGCCAAAGGAAAAAAGAAGGAAGGAAGAGAGGAAGGAAGGGATGGAGGAAGGAGGGAGGGAGAAAGGAGGGAGGGAAGGAGGAATGGAAGAAGGGAGAGAGAAGGGAGAAGAAAAAGGGAGAGAGGGAGGAAGGGGAAGGGAGAGAAGTGAAGGGAGGGAGGAGAAGGGAGGGAAGGACAGAACTAAAGGAAAAAAGAAGAAAGGAAGAGAGGAAGGGAGGGAGGAGGGAGGGAGGAAGTAGGAGGGAAGGAGGGAGGGAAGGAAAGGGAGGGAAGTAGGGAGCCAAAGGAGAAA